CCCCCCCCCACCCCCGCCACGTTCCCATGTCCCCTCCGCGTCCCTCCACCCCACGACCCTCTATCCCCTCCAGATTCCTCCAACCCCTCCATGCCCACATGTCCCACCGCGGCCCCATGTCCCACCGCGTCCCCATGTCCCACCGTGTCCCCACATACCACGTCCCTCCACCCCACGTCCCTCTATCCTCGCTACATCCCTCCAACCCCTCCACGTCCCCATGTCCCCCCACGCGTCCCTCCGCCCCCCCGGTGTCCCCGCGGCCCCCACCATGGCGCCGCACGTTGCAGCACTTCTTCAGGTCCATCATGATGTTGAGCAGCGACACCTGGTTCCCTCCGCCCCGCGAGTTCAACGCCTCGAAGTTGCGCGTCAGGATGTACTTGTAGTACTTCCTACGGGGAGGTCGGTGGGACCCAGGCGGCCGGGCGCCTCCCCTCCCCGCCCGTCCCGGGGAACCCAGGCATCCCGGGGGACCCGAGCACCCAAGGGACCCCGGCGTACGTCCGCACGGGGCTGAGCTCCACGCAACAACGAGCTCCACGCCAACGCCGACTCCCACGGACCCCGGGTGCACCCTTCTCCCACGGACCCAGGCGGCGGGGCGCCTCCCCTCCCCTCCTCCCCGGGGGGCCCGGCGTACTTCTGCATGGGGCTGAGCTCCACGCGGACGATGAGCTCGGTCTTGGCCGGCATGTTCTTGAAGACGTCGGCCTTGAGGCGCCGCAGCATGTGGGGACCCAGCAGGTCGTGAAGCTTCTTGATCTGGTCCTCCTTGGAGATGTCGGCAAACTCCTCCAGGAAGCCCTCCAGGTTGCTGGAGGTGGGGGGGGACGGGACACGGGACAGCGTGACATGAGGGGGGCGCAGGGACATGGGGACGGGGGACGTAGGTGGCCGTGACACGGGGAGATGCGGGGACAGCCATGACATGGTGGGGTGAAGGGGCACGGGGAGATGGGGACAGCCAGGATATGAGGGAATGCGGGGACGGTTGTGACATGAAGGGACACAGTGACGGCCGTGGGATGGGGGACGTGGGGACAGTCGTGACATGGAGGGACACGGAGACGTGGGTACAACGATGACACGTGGGGGGACAGGGATGTGGGGACAGCCATGACATGGTGGGGTGAAGGGGCACGGGGAGATGGGGACAGCCAGGATATGAGGGAATGCGGGGACGGTTGTGACATGGAGGGACAGGGGGATGGCCATGGGATGGGGGATGTGGGGACAGCTGTGATGTGGGGAGACGCGGGGACAGCTGTCACATGGGGGGATATGGGGACAGTTGTGACATGGAGGGACACAGGGACGTGGGGATGGCTGTGACGTGGGGGGGTGCAGGGACACGGG